GGAAAACCCCTACCACGCGGTGGTGAACCCTGACTCCCTACAGGGCACGTATACGGCCGGCAAAAAAGTGTTCGAGACGCGGCTGGCCCAAATTCTCAACCCCGTGCTATACATCGGTATCAGTCCGTCCGCGTTTACGGGGTCCTTCGCAGAAGAGGAGGCGGTAGCGGCGACGGTGGTGCAGGAGGCATTCACAACCCTTGTGCACGAGGTGGTTCAGTGCAGCCGAAGCTGGCTCAGCGTGCTGCTGGCTGCGTCGCTGGCGCTCTTCCTCTGCGCCATCGCCGGCGCTATCTTGCGCTTTTGCACCCTTGCACCCGACGTACTGGGGTCAATCGCCGTGGCGTTCTTGCGCAATCGCATCCCCGATCTAGCTGGGTCCTCCACGTGGTCGGCGGATGAGTGGGTTCGGCATATCCGCGACACGCGATTGTACTTGGGCGATGTGGAGGCCGAGGCCGAGGCAGGCTGCATTGCTCTGGCGACCTCGCCAGAGGATGTGCAGGTCCCCCTAGTAAAGAACAGACTATACAAGTAAGAGGGAGCTCTGCCAATATCTTATGTACTAGGTAGGACTATACAGAGGTTATTAAGAATGGGGTAAAGACTTGCTTTGAGTTTACAATACCTGGGCTCCTATGATCTGGTTGTAACGGAAGTAGAATGCCTGGTGAGGCACGGTTACTTCAAGGTAACAAAGTATCTTGATAGACGGACATGGAGTTTAGCTTTGGTATCGCAGCTATGGTATCTCATATAGTTGCAAGTTCTTTAGAGTTGAACACTAGACTATTGTCAATTATAGATGGAAAGACTAAAGTAAAATATTCTCCGGTATCACCCTGTTCACTTCTTAAGATGAACTACATCTGGGGAAAGCAAAAGTTTAAGTCTTAGTACATAAGACAAATGACATACAAAGTAAAGACACGCGAATGAAAACCCAAGATTATTCAGGTCAGCCCTTATAGTTACAGGTGTGTGGTTGGAAGAAGAAGCGCAAGGCTGCGAACCCCCAATTACGTCAGTCTCCCATAACTTCAGCTCTGCTTACTTTCTATTTCTAGGCTACTTACTAAAGAATCCGACATAGCGAAGCCTGCTTTAATCTCCATCTGGAGCCCTTGAGATTTGTGCTGTCAAATGCGACCGAGAAGCCGCAATGATCTTGTGATTGTGATTATCTGCGCCCTCTCTCTCGACGCGGAAGCGGTCGAAGACCTGTTATGAAATCTATGATCAGCGTGGAAAGTAATACAGCAAGTGACAAGATATTATGAATGTCCATATAAAGGATGGATTGTCAAGCTTGATATGGTCCTGTGTGGTATATCTAAAATAGATAAGGGTTGTATAGTTCGTGTTTCTTCCAGTTTGCTAGTCAGTTATATGAGTATCAAGCTTGCTTTGATGGTTGGTATCTTCAGAGATGTTTGACTGTCTTATTAATATAATATGACTTTGGCTGAAATATGCTGGGGGCTGAACTATTTTTCTAGCTCCAGTCTGACACTATCATACTAGTTGCTGACCCCGTCGCGCATGGGTGCCCGCTAGGCTGCTGCATTTCAGGATGGAGGTGGCATCCGTGGCTGAAGGGGCTGTGTTAGTCAATTATGATTCCATAGTACCTTCCTTCTGCCCGACCCCGAGAAGGCACCCTGATTTTTGTTTCTGCCTGAGGATGAACCTCCTTGTGCGCTTTGACTTCTATCCACTTTTCGACGCTGACGGCCTTTGACGTTCGTTTTCATGCGCGCACCATTAAGATGGCCCGCTCTGGGCTTTCATCGTTATATTCCCGCTTCTCGATCTCCATCCAATATGTACGTTCCATTATGTTCTGTTTTCTAAACCGGCACCGTCAGACTTTCAGTATGTTTGCCATTGCCGATCATACATTGCTTTGTATATCCAATGCTAATACCATAGAGCCTACACGAGACGGATATCTTACCCCAAGATGCACTTTTTTAAGTCGTAGGTACGGTAACTTGGCTAAGATAGTATAATAAGTGTCTTACAGCCTCAATTAGGCAAAAGATAATCTTCAAGGCTGTTGTAATCAAAAACGCAAAAGCCTAGACTTACTATCTAGCTGTTTATGTAGCAGTTCCGTATCATGTAAGCGCTAACATGAGAGAACAAGCATGGTGATGTGTGGACCAGCCGGGAGATCTTCCTTCCCCGGCCAAACCACCATGTGAAGTCTGGCGGGGGCAAAGCTACACCCACCTGATTTGTCTTCACCAAGGCATGACGAACCTCCTATAGCAGTCATTCGCTATTGACCTATATTTAAGAGGTGATCTTGATACCTTAGTGTCGAGGTGGTTACCGGATTTGGATATAACAGCGTCAGAGGCATTGCCCCGAAGAATGCTTATCTTCAGAATTGTCAAATGAGGCACGGTCTACCTATCCTGCCATCAAACTAACCTTATCAGTAGCCCTACCATTGGTTAACCTCGTCAGGAACATCAGGCACACAATCAAGCCTTAATCCTTTCCGTGATAGTAAGCTAGCCGTGAGATATTTTTTTTTCAACTTATTCAGAAACCATGGCAAGGTGACCAGTCGCTCAGTTGCATAATACATAGGGCTCAGTTTACGACATGGCTAAGCTTCGCATATAGTACTGTATATTACCAGGATTGAGTATAGTTTGAGAGGTCATTTGAGCGCTTCGGCCACTCCAACAACTGGATACCATTTTCTAGCACAACTAGAATCTACAGAGGTAAAGGGACTGGGAATCAGGACTTGACCAGAACATATGAACTCCGATTGCCCGAAAGCTTTTCTGGAGATTGTTAGCCGTAAGAGGCAAGTCAAAGCTAGGCAGCCAAATTGTTTGCCTAGTATCCCTGTAAGTGAATTATCGGCGAGCTAATAGAAGCAGTTCACAATATTGTCAATGAAAATGGGCCAGCGGCCATTGGGAGGAAGTGGGGTGAGATTATAAGAGCAGAGGCGGAGCTGAGATAAGCTACTAATGGACCAAATGGAGGCCAATTCGGAATAAATCACTCATACAAGAATGGTATACCTGCAAATGCAAAACGGATACTGCATGTCTTTATGAGATACATCTGACATGAGCATATAGCTTGCTTATTTCATGTTCAAGTCTAGTCAGTCTTCCAATGAGAGTTGCAGATGCACCTGATAAGGAAACAGCCCGTGTACACAGAAGCAGCAGCTGTTGGAGGGATTAGCCAACTGGAAGCGATTTCTCTCTCATGTGTAAAAGTGCCTACTGAAAATATTAGGCGTCCACACCCTTCCTTCCATCCGAGGATATGATAGCAAATGAGCGACTAGCTCAGATGATCTTTCTTCCATCGTACCAGTGACTATGGGATCACAAAAGGTATAAATAAGCCAGAGAATAGAAACCTCTCCAGCTCATCAGACTTCATATCCAATATCACCTTCAACATGGCTGACAATCCCCAATCTATCTTGAAATGGCTTAGCCTATTCGCCATGGTGCTGGGAGCATTCTGTGGCGAGACTGATGAGCTATTTCTGGACCTTGATATTGATCAAATTGCAAACGGAACGGCAGGTTCGTGGATTCAAGCCCCGTGGGGTGAATCATATGTGTCTGCCGTACGTGAAAGTCGTTACGGCGATGCCGTATGGGCGCGGTATCATATGGATGGTCGAGCTGTGGGCAACATCATCGAGGCAGACAACACTACTGTGACAAAGGAGCTGCTTGACGATGCCACGGGCTACAGGCTCGGCAATCCGGAACTCTACAACCAAGTGGCCACCAGATACAACACCACTAGCTCGAACGACGGACATCGGGAACTTGTCGACATTATCATCGGTGTTCTAGATGAAGACCTCAAGGCTCTTGAAAAGCGGGATGTGACATACACTATCAAGTGCAGCAGCTCAAATCTAGCCCCACGTAGTTCTTGCTACGAGTTGCTCCAGGACATGAACCAGTACCAAACAGACCTTGGCTCAACGCGTACAATTGACTACTATGGTGGTTGCTGGTTTAGGGTCGGGCCTCATGGCAGTGGGGCCGATCTTACGTGGTATAAGGCACATGCGGTGGGAAAACTTATATACGATGATTGCCCACGAACCAAAGCTTGTTGTTCAACCGTATATGTTTCGGGGTACTCGCCTAAGAACTCGGGGCATCGCAAGCTGTGTTTGAGCTCGAAGTCCACTGGTTGCTAGTGATTCGGCTTTTTCGGTCTAAAGAGATCTGGTTTGCAGGTAAGAAACACCATGTCATTTCTCAGACTCCTCTAAAAACCACATGCCCATCTAAATATTTGACCATTAAGATGAACTGACGTATAGGACGTCTTGACCAGAATAACGTCGATCCCTCGCCAATGAGCCTTGGACCACTTGACAACCGAAGGAATAGGAACGGAGCATCAGTAGGGGTTACTTGAAGGTTATTTGGTATATTGCAACATTGTATCTATCAAAGATGTTGTCACTTCAGAGGTTGATAGTATGAAAGAATGTAGCGAGAGTACTGCGACATGAGCCAGGTGCATATCTATTATTGTCCACAGTTCTCAGTTCGAGGATGTAGTTGAAAGGCTCCATAAGGCGGAGCTAAACCCCCAAAATGTTTTTCAATACAAGACCCCCTTTTGCGGCAGCTAAACCTATCGATACGCTACAAGGGGGGGAAGACGGGGGCATATCGGCCACCCATGATCAGTGTGCTGGTGAGCATTGCTAGTGCCTAATCCCACCCCATCTTAGATTTTGCACTCACTTAAATGGATCATGAGAACTAGGGGGAAATAACTTGCCAGGTGCCACAGAACTTATCCTTTCACCAGTAATTTCTACTTACAGAGGTGTAGAAATTGAGGAGTACAGCGCCCACGAGAATCTAGGCAGAGGCGCTTATCAGGCACCAATCAATCAGCGGGTATATGTATTAATTGCGAAAGTATAAATGCCTCCCTGTTCCCACCCTCCATGCACATACTTGCACTGTCTGCTACGCAACGTCATCTTGGCCCAAGATTTCTTCGTCATTTGCTTCTTCCTTTCAGACATCACAAGAGTACTATACTCCGCCAAGCTCCCCAGTCGCTATGGAATCATCCCTACCTGAACAAATATTCCTCGATATTCCCATCGCAGACGTCATCAACAAAACGACGAAAAGACAACTAGTCGAGCCATGGGCATCTCGGTACTGCACAGCCATCGCTGAAAAACGCTATGGTGATGCGATTTGGGCGCGATACCATATAGATGGACGCGCGAGAGATGGTATCTACACCAATCTGCGCGATAATGGTGATGGGCCATTTGAACTACACGAAACTAGCGTTTACGACGTGATCATGGAAGATGCCCGAGAGCTTGCGGAAGGTGATCCGGAACTTTATAGCGAGACACTTCGATTCTATCGCGATTCTAGTCCAAGTGACGGTCGACGGGATATTATTGATGGACTCTTCAGGATAGGATCGTCTTGTCTAGCTAGTGGGTGAGGTGAGTGGGAGTCAACGTGCTGCTGCAGATAAACCGTAAGTCTCCCGGCTACAGTAGTTGTTGTCAATTTCAAGTCTACCTACTGATCCCGGCCTGCTTGATACTTTAGTTTTTATATGAATCGTCCACTTTTGCCTTTCAGTACTAAATCCTGTTTCTGAATGAGTAGATAAAAAAATCTTAAAAATAAAAGCAACTAAGCTATGGCCATTAATGTTAGGCAGCCTATGGCTGCTCCTTTCCCTATACATCACGAGATCAAATACACGCGTAGATCCTCACTTAGTCACTCGGGCTCCGGATCGGATCTTTCTCCCCACTCTCCACACTCTTAAGGAACTCCCTGGCAGCATCCGGATCATCCTTGAACACATGCTCCGCCACCATCCGTTGCGGCGTCTCCCCCATCCACTGGAACAACGAAAAGTCGCGGAACCGGTCTGCCCGGAAGATCTCCAACACCTCGACCTCCTCGTCATCACTGAGGTTCTCAATGAAATGACCCATGTTGCGAGGAACAATACCCACATCTCCTGCTACATAATCAAACGTACGAGCGTTACCTTCAGCAGCGAAGATGGTCACTCGCGCCCGACCGCGCTTGAAGTAGGACCATTCATCTGCATTGGGATGCCAGTGCATCTCCCGGATAGCTCCCGGGTGGATGGTCAGATGGGCGGCCGCGACGGTCTTGGAGATGGGAAAGTTGGACGAGTCAGTGATGCGCACCTCTCCGCCAGAGGTATGCTCTGGTTTTTGTGCGAGCATCTTATGCGTGAAGCGCTGCTTGGATGCTTTGAAGTTGCGGGGGAGCTCTTTGGGAATAGATTCCGGGACGGAGCCCTGGAAAATATACTTTTCAGATTGCGGAATATTCTTGAATGTTTGTGGGCGCATGCGAAAGTTCCCAGCGAGGACGGACTTGGGTGTATGTGCTGTTGTGTAGCATTGTTAGTATACTTTGAGGAGGTTGTACAGGAGCAAGCACGACCGACATACCCATCCAGTCGGTCAACAAGAACGTGGACTCTTCGGAAAAGTTCCCATCATCGAAGATCAGTAAGAACTCGGTGCCATTGGGACCGAGACCCTGGAGGGAATGGGGATGGCCCGATGGGAAGTACCAGAGGTCACCTTCTTCCAGGTCATCAATGAAGCTGCCTCCCTCCAGATCAAGGCCGGTGACTCGTACACGTCCGGCCAGCACATACGCCCACTCTGCTTCCCGATGCCAGTGCAGCTCGCGGATGACACCTTCATCCAGGCGCATGTTCACTCCAGCAAGCTCCTTGCTCGTGGGCAGCTCGCGTACGGTAGTCTGACGTGTCCAACCGCCCTCCTGCAAGGCATTTAGTCTTATCACTTGACATACAGAGACACTCAAACGACTTACCTCAATGCGGATGTGAGAGTCTGCAAAGCTCCACCGCATGTTGGGCATGTTGCCGTGGTCTGTGCTCGGGGGACGGAGCATGTCGGGGTTCTGGCGCTCACGGTCCTTGTTGCGGGGTCCCATGATGGTGGCTCCATCTCCCATGCGCCAGGGCAAGGGTTCATGGCCTTCCCCGATCGCATCTACCTTGTGGTCATAGGGGTCGCGATGATCAGGGGTGAATGGCTTGTCCTGGAAGAACATGGATGGGGACGATGCGGGAATCTGCAATAGTTGCTGGTATGCTTCGTTAGGGACCGGGCCTCCATGACTGGGATGGAGGAGGGCGGCCACGGTCGCGAAACTCAGCAACAGCTGATGTGGTGACAAGGGTAGCTGCATCTTTGCAATCTACTAGGAATGCTTGATCTCCAGATCTCTGTCTCTGCCTTTGCGACCGTGCAAACCGACCATTCTTATATTCCTTGGCTGAGGGGGTGGGTCAGAGCAAGCTTGATATCAATGGCAATTCTCTCATATCCGACTCTTCCGGGCGACCAGTGACGTGGATTCCAGAAAGCAAGAAACAAACGCAAGGGTGGAACCTCGTCTGGGGTCAAAAAGCCCGAACAAAGCTTGGTAGTAATGCTTGTTTGGGGAGAAGGGGGAGTCCATTGGCCCCAACCATTCAGCCCTACAGGGCCGGGCACTCAACGTCATTGGATCTGCGCCGACGTCACGCGCGATGGATCACAGTCTCGCTCTTTCTTTCTCCACTCATCTCCAACTCTTTTCCCCCCCTTCATCTCCCACTGCCGTCTTAACCGTGGACGAACTATTAAGTCCCTGCTAGCTGTCGCTATTCACATCGCTATTTGAGACACTCATTTGGAATATTACTTGCTGCCTAGTTTGCGCGCTCGGGCATTCCCAGGCCCCCCAATTCTTCCCTTCCCCTCTCGTGTTTCCCACACACACACAGAGAGACCATCCACCAACCTTCACTCTCGACCATGGCGCACGTAACCGCGCACTACCAGGAATTTCCCGCCCATGAGAACGATCCTCTCCTGGGACACCGGGGACCTGGCCCCAAACCTTCCCCCCTGAGCCAACTGCGCCGCCATCTCCGCACCGAAGTCGACCCGCACCGAGCAGACCTTCTCCTCATTTTCTGCTACGTCATCACGGGTCTCCTGGACAGTTCTGCCGTGTTTATCTGGGGCTCCTTTGTGAGCATGCAGACCGGCAACACGGTATACTTTGGACTAGGGCTGGCCGGGGTGGATGAGAGTCAACGGTGGCTTAAATCGCTCATCTCGATCGGCAGTTTCTGCATCGGCTCCTTTTTCTTCGCCGTGTTACACCGCCTGTTTCACACACCGCGCCAACGGTCCGCCCTGACTCTGTCCTTCTCCCTGCAAATGATTTGTGTCGCTGTCGCTGCGAGTATTGTCACCGTGCAGCACACCGGCAAGACTGATCCTCTGACGTGGAAGATTGGTGTGCCGTTGGCGTTGGTCGCGTTCCAGAGTAGTGGTCAGGCTGTGTCGAGTCGCGTGTTGAAGTGTAGTAGTTTGACGAGTGTTGTCCTTACTAGTATCTATTGTGATTTGTTCTCGTCACCGGCACTGACCTCTTGCAGTGTGCTTAAGGCGCCTGATGAGTGGAGGCGGTTGGGGGCTGTGGTGGGGATGTTGATTGGAATTGTGGCGGGTGGCTTGTGGGCGAGGAGTGAGGTTGGATTGCCGGGCGCACTTTGGACTGCTGTAGTGTTGAAGGGGATGATTGCAGCTGCATGGATGTTGTGGAAGACGAAGGAGGTTGATGATGAGTAGGCTGCTTGATACTGGGGGGGACATATTACTAGTAGTATTGTGGTCTAGTCATTTGGCGCTAGAAATCGCGCGTGGGGCAACGCACAGCATCCAGCAGGCAGTTATTTCTATACATAGTGCTTTACTTCCTATAATAGGCTGAGATATAGACTGGGAGCGATAACAGTAGTTATGGCTTTAGTAGTACACGGGATGTTGACGCACAGCTGATGTAGTCGCTTAATTCCACTAAATTATAGCGTCCATTGACCTGTCCTATCGCCAGCTTGATTACACAGCAGCACCTCAATAAACACCCTCAACGCACCTCTCCAGACGGGGATAAATCAGGGATTAATGAGTCAAATACTTTGTTAGCCATCGCGGAGAAATTCCCCCGCCCGGGACAATGCAAGGAATTTTCGATTATAGGGCAGTCTTTGTCGGTTCAAGTTGTCTCCCCTCAATTAACTGGAATAGAGTTAAACCCCTCATTCCCCGCACGAAGCCATCCACCCAATCTCAACTAATAGTAAAACTCGCCATCCAGACTGACCCACTGCGCGATAAATATCCCTGATAAGCGGATCGCGCTATCTTGATGCATCCTTTATCGCCCAGCTTGCTTGGATAACACGACAAAACATGTACTCGGGCGAGAGAGCCGACATCTCGGAGGTCAAGGCCGAACTGCTGTGCGGGCAGGGCTTAAGAACATTTATTTAGCTTTATAACATGTCACTAGAATTAGACATTTGACCTGTGGCATTATCTCAGATTTCTCAATTGTTCATTTAGAATTTGACATAATGACAACTCAAACCAGCACAATCACACAGACGGGAACAACTTCCCCTTCCTTCTTCGAGACAGCCCCGTTCATTCCTCCCGATGCTATCTTTGCTCTTACTGCAGAGTACAATGCCGACACCTTCCCCCAGAAAGTGAACCTCGGGCAAGGAACCTACCGCGATGAGAATGGACAGCCCTGGGTTCTGCCTTCGGTGCGGAAGAGTCGCGAGATGCTCGTTGGACAGGGTCTGAATCATGAGTATCTGCCGATCTTGGGTCTTCAGGCGTTTCGCCAGGAGGCAAGTAAGATGGCATTAGGCTCTGGACTGTACGAGAGGATCCAATCTAGGGTAGGTCCCAGTCACGGAGACTCGCATATCCATCTCACCTATCGCACTCTCTGACTTAATAATCGAAGCTCGCAACCTGTCAAGGCCTCTCCGGCACCGGATCCCTTCATCTAGCAGGCCTACTACTCCGAAGCTGTCGTGCCCCCTTACCGAAGATCTACATCCCCAGTCCCACGTGGTCGAACCATCACCAAGTCTTCTCCTCCCTCGGGTTCACCTGCGAATCCTTCGGATACTACGACGACGCCCAGAAGAATCTAGATATCGACAGCTACTACTCTGCTCTGAAACGGGCAGAACCAGGCTCGGTCGTTATTCTTCACGCGTGCGCGCATAATCCGACCGGCTGCGATCCTAGCAAGGAGCAATGGAAGGAAGTCGGTCGTATCATCAAGGAAAAGGGACTATTCCCTCTCTTTGATGCAGCATACCTTGGTTTCAACTCGGGAAATATCGATGATGACGCTTTTGCGATTCGTTATTTTGTTGACGAATTAGACCTGGAGGCGGGTGTATGTCTGTCGTTTGCGAAGAATATGGGGTTGTATGGTGAGATTGTTATTCGTCTGTGACGTTGTCGTTGGTTCCTTGGCTAATGGTTCGCTAGGAGAGCGCACGGGTTGTCTATTCTTCGTAGCTCAGACAGACAAAGCTGCTACCAATACACAGTCGGTGCTAGAGATGCTGCAGCGGTCTGAAGTGTCGAATCCACCTGCTTATGGCGCCAAAATTGCTGCAACAATCTTGTCGGACCCGGAGCTCAAGGCGCTCTGGTACAAGGACCTCGAGACCATGAGTGGCCGGATCCGGGCGATGCGGAGGGCTCTGTATGACTCCTTGAATAACAATGGTGAGTCGAGACTT